TAAGTTGTTGCCAGCGATTAATTATTAACGATAATTGATAATTACATTAAGAAGAAACTAATTCAAATTGATGAAATCTGATAATTATTAAAATTCTTCTGATTTAAAAGCTAATATATTCTAAAATGACTCCTTTAAGACAATTAATTGTAATTTCAACTTTGAATTTTTCAATTTTTAGTCAAATAATAATTACAATGGTAATATAGAAGAAAATTATTATTTCATTTTTAAGAAATTCTTCATGTTTGGAAACTGACTCTATTTCATTTTATATATCTCAGAATTGCCTTAAAACTTAAAATAAATTCGTTAACATCTTTTTGAAGTTCTTCATTCTTGTGTTCATAAAAACAATATAAATTATGCATAAACTCTAAAAGCATTTATTTAAGCTATTCTTTTTTAGTTATATAATTTCTAACTTAGAGATTATATTTCAGAATTTTCAATAAGGTTTAACATGCTCTAAGCTTTTTTCAAAAAGCTTTATTTATTAACAGTTATTATTGATAAAGCAAGAAGCTCCTATTCAAATTATTGATAAAGGAAAACTAGTTATCTTTGAGATTTAGATTTTTTAATTCCTCCTAAATCAACAATTTCTATTAAGAAAGCATTGTTATTCCTTCTGTTTCACAATTTTGCTAGGAAAAAAGATTTCTAGAGTCTTAAATTTCTTAAATTGCTAATTACAATATTTATTCTTCCAGATTTTAATTACTTCCCTCAGGCTCTCATCATTTTATTTTATTATATTAATTAACTTAGATGAGATTAGGAAACTAAAAAGTGTTTACATTTTCTCAATAGTAAAATTTTTTTCCTAGTTTTGGTCTAATTTACATTTTAAGTATGAACTCATTGTAAATGGAGTATTCTCATTTTCTTCATTCATCAAAAATTGTTTAAGTATAAGAAAGTCTTCCCATCCTTTGAAACTGTCTTCTAAAATGAATCCATCTACTTAATTTATATTATTATTTTCAAGTTAATTAAGTTAGATAACAGCTAAATCATTGCTGTTAGGAATTCATATTAGTAGCCCTCTATTAGTATAATCCTTCCAAATCTAAACAAATGACTTTAACCCAACATTTAACGGGTTATTCAACTGGCCAAACTTTTTTTTTGTTAGTAGAGGATTAAAGACTAATAATTTACCAATCATTTAAATCCAGATATAATGTTCTCTCCAATTTATTGAACATTTCACTAGTGTTTCATATATAGCCTCAATTTGTAAAATTATTTGTACTAGATTTCTGTATTTTTCTTTTTTTAAAATAACTTACTACCTCCCATTACAACATGTCTACTTAATAAAAAACTTCATATTATTATCTCTTTTTAGAAATATCTTACATTTTATAAAGCAAACAGGCTCCCTTTAATAACTATTCAAGTAGTTCAGTATCTGGACTCATTTTAATTAGAGAACTTATTATACCTTTTAAGGACCCTGTTAATATTTCTTCCTTTTCTTTACTATAGTTTGGAGCAATCTCAAAGGATGTTTTTGTTAAAAAAAGAAAAAGTTCTATCTAATTTTAAATTAAATCATTCCTTTCGATTTCCATTTATTATTGCAATCCATCATAAATTTCAAGAAAATAATTTTAAGTTTCACATTTCATGAATCTCTCATCATTCATTAAATGGAAGCTAAATATTACTTTAGATAGGGATGTTTTAATCTATAAAATATACAAACATTTAAAGAAATCTGATCTAATGTACGTTTAACAGCTGATCAATAATCGTCTAATCCCATCTAAAACTAAATCGGATGATTTCTTAACACTTTAAACATTCTTATTAATTTTGTAGATGTTTTCTTCCTAAAAAATAAACCATCTTATTGCTATCATTATTTCTGATGATGCTTATTCGTTAGATTCGATTATATAAATATAATTATTGAAACTTAAAAAGAAATCATAAACATCAGTTTGAATGGAATTGTTTTAAGATTACATAGCGAAATTAGTTTTTGTCATTCCACAACCTCCTCCTCTTAGAATGAATGTTGAATAATTGATTTGGTTTAGCATTATGAAATATTTAAATAATCAATCCGATACTAATATAAACTTGCCTAAGAACCCCCTAAAAAAATTAATACTCCGTCATCAATTTATCAACACTATTAAATAAGCGAAAAAAAAAGTCTTCATTTTGAAGACTGAGCTTGTGTTTTGAGCAATCTCTTATTGTTTCAACACCATTTACAATAATTCCTATATTGGATTATTTATAATCAAATGATTATGATTTATCTTATATCTTTGGAATGCTATTAAAAACCAATAATTATATGCTTTCATAATGCTCCACACCAATTAAATGTTAGAAGTAATAAGGGATCATATCATGCAGAAGATGCACATAAATACTCATGAATATACAAAGGGCCTTTTTTGTTTTATTGTAAACAAAGGATTAAAAAGGTTAAATCCTCTTTCTACAGCAGAATTCTTTGGACAAAAAGTTGGTTACTTTCCTAATATGCATTAAGTACTACATTAAGACTATAAAATTGTAATTCGAAACTAACTTCATTCTAAACTCAAGCATTAAATAAAGTTGTTATTTACTAACCTTGTGTAAAATTACTAATCCTCCATACTTTATCAATAGTATAGTTAATATTTTCACTAAGTTAAATGATTATTTTAATTAAAAAAAATTATCACATTAGTTAATTAAAGAAAATAGGATTAGTTGTGTATTATTAAAATATTTATAAATCCTTTTTGTTGTATTTTCTAATTTATTTGAAGTCCGCTTCTAATTAAAATCTTTTTCCTAGCAAATGTTTTTTAATATTTAGAGAAGGAGAATATCTCAAAATCTTATTATTGAAGATGATTAAAGATTAAATAAGTAATCATAAACTATAAATGACTCTCATGGCTTTTTGTTAATTAAGAATAGTTTGGCTTTAGGGTTTTGAAATTGGATTAATCATCAGTATGCTCAAAACTTATTAGAAAATAGGATTATGAATATGGAATTGTATTTCGAGTACGAATAAGGAGAGTACGGAGTTAGTATGTATTGATAAAGGTTTGATTCAGGGTAATAAATAAGATGATTATTGCAAGGGTATATTCAATCCTGCACAAAATTTTTCCAAATATTTTTAGTTAATTTACATCATTTATCACTCGAACTTCCTTAATTTTCACAAATATCCTAAACCCAATATTCTTCGCATCTTTTGCATCTACTCATTCATCTCCTTCAGATATACATTATAAGGATATCTGGTCATTGCAAATGGGATTCTGGAAATTCTAAATGTATGGATGAATTGTGTAGTGAAGCAGGAATAGGATTGACTACTGATTAGATATGCTCTAAATTTAGGCTTGTTGCGTCACAACAATATAGGGATGTACAGAGAGTCCTTTAGAGGAATGTATTCTCTATGAAAGTTCAGGGCAAGAATGTTACAAATTTATTGGATAAGATCGACCATTATAATTGTTTTAAGTTTTT